ATTTCAAAAAACACTTTCCATGCACCTCTTTTGATCCTTACTTGCCGAATTATCCATTTGAAAGAACAAGTTGTTGGAGGAAGACGCTGGAAAGCACCGGAATGAAATACTTTACCGTTGGTTGGAGGCCCAGGATCAAACTGGCTGAAGAAAAGATGCACTTCCACAACGGAGACACTCTTCTAATTGCCAACGAATTCAACGAATACTTGAATCTCGAGTGTGGGCTTTGCGAGGTTCAAATCAAAAAACCTGCTGAAGTCCTCAACGAAGAAGCCGAAAATCTTACGAAGTATGCCATCATCATCTATGTCCTAGAGAAGAACAGCAACGACATAACGGAACCCTTTTTCTTATCCCGCAGAATCTGCTCAACAATAGCTACAGAAGAAACGCGCTTCATCGTCATTTCTTTGACAGGCGACGCTGTTCATTGGACAACATTAGGACCAATCCGAGAATTCCATCTCGGTAGAAAGAGAAAAAACATATTTATAGACAATTCGGAAAGGATCCCTCTTCCCAAACTTATTCCTTCCGTACTGGATGTGGATGAGGAGGTACTGTTCACTATGAGGAATTCCCTATTGAGCATGATATACGCGGAAGAAAGTGCTGGTAGTTCAGACGTTTACTTAGGCAAAACGGTAGCAGTCGTTGGAGGTACGGGAGCCATAGGTTCTACCTACGTCGAGATGCTCAAAAAGAAAGCAGGAGTCGAAAATATAGTGATACTCAGCCGTAAGGCAAACAGAGCTTTGTGTGGGCCAGGTGTCTCCGCGTTTACTTTGGATATCAAAGACGAGGAGTCCATGAGAAAGACACTGGACGAGATTTACATGAGGTATGGGAGAGTCGACACCATAATCCACGCAGCTGGCGAAGCGACGACAAGATCACTGGAGAAGGACATTCCAAGCATGCTCAACGTTCTACTTCCGAAACTGAGCGGAATCACGAATGTACTGAACTATCTCAACTCCAGAAAGGTCCAGCTGGATAATTTAATTATGGCGTCATCATTAAGCAGCACAGTTGCATTACAAGGAAATGAAGACTACGCTGCAGCCAACATCTTCATGGACGCGCTGGCGCTGAACGGACATCCTAGGGTGAATAAGATTACTTCGATACAGTGGCCAGCTTGGAGCAGCGCGGGCATGGCTTCAACATTTGAACATAATGAACTTCACTCCTTGCTGATGAGAACTTCGATTTCACCTCAGGCAGCTAAACGGGCAGTGAGAGAAACTCTTGGGCTCACAGGTGTGGTAGCATATTCGCCACTGTCACCGTTTGAGATCAGAAAGATGCTTGAAAAAGCTCAACTTGCTGGAGAGCGACTAAATGTTGCCGATAATGTTAGCGAGGACAAAGGTTCATTGAAGGACAAGATTGCCGACATTTGGAAAGAAGTATTGGGGGTAACTGTGGACGATGAACTGGATTTCTTCAACAATGGCGGGAACTCACTGAGTGCGCTTAGGGTAGTGTGGGCTCTTAATACAAGGCTGAAGATAAACACATCTACAACTACTCTTTTCAAACATCCATTATTCAAAGATTTCGTGGAAGCGCTATCCCATACATCTACCGAATCAAGCAAGGTTGAGTCTTTCGACGTAACAGTACCGGCGCCGTTAAGTTACCCGCAAGAGAATATGTTTCTCTTACGGCATCTCGAGACTGGAGCACACTACAATATATTCTTTTCCATCTTTATCCAAAACAATTCTGACATGTTTTCGATGCAAACGCTCACTCACACAATTCATACACTCGTAGCTCGTCAACACTCCCTCCGCACATGTTTTTATTTGCGAGATTCGCTTAGCGCTCGCCAAATTGTGTTGTCCCTTACCGAAAGTTACCAGAACCTTTCTTGCAAAGAGATTCGACACCA